TCTTCGAAAACCATAAACATTGTTAAGTAGCTAGGGGCGAGACTAAAACGTTCTTGTTTTACCTGACCTGAACTCAGTGTCTGCAAGCGAATCAAAAATCGGTCGTTTTTGAATTGATCTGTAGCGCACAACTAAAAGGATAATAAAACTCTGACAGCTAAATTGCAGTGTACAATCATCCATGTTACCAAAACACTAATAATCATTTTGGCTCGCTGGAAAAAGGAGAAATTAGAAAATGAAGAGCGGATGAAGTACGTCGAAATAATCACCCATTAACCTGCGATCAGGAGTTGTTATTTTTCTTTTTCGCCTCCCAAACAGAAAGAGAAGTCCCAGGTTAATAGCCCATTATATTCTTCACTCCATTCACTCCGCAAAAAATGACAACCCAGAAGTGAACAAACCAAACGTAGTAAACAGAAAAGTAATATTGGAGCAAGTAGCTGATAAGGGTTTGTTTGTGATTTGTATAAGATGTGTGCATTTATTTTATAGTGAGTCGTTTGTTTCTGTCTTTTACCTTATTATTCGTCGTCTTGTCAACTACTAGTGCCAGTCCCTCTCGAGTACTGAACTTTCTTGATGGCGTCGCTTTGTTATTTTCTAGTTTTATCCCATGGTCTAGCACTTTTTGCCGTTCCAAGATGTTACAGTGACCGGTTTTCGAACTTTTTGATATTTCCTCTACCTGCTGACCATAGCTGACAGCGAAATAGGGAACAAAATTCATGAAGAGGACTTAAAACAAACAAGAAGGGATCGGCCTATTTTCAAGAAAAAAGGTTGGTACCTATGACAAATGTGAGTTTTCTAATTTCTTTCTTTTCCAACGAGCCAAAATGATTATTAGTGTTTTGGTAACATGGATGATTGTACACTGCAATTTAGCTGTCAGAGTTTTATTATCCTTTTAGTTGTGCGCTACAGATCAATTCAAAAACGACCGATCTTTGATTCGCTTGCAGACACTGAGTTCAGGTCAGGTAAAACAAGAACGTTTTAGTCTCGCCCCTAGCTACTTAACAATGTTTATGGTTTTCGAAGATAGTCCTGTGTTGTGTTGTATCGCATACAAAAAATGAACTTCGCTCGTTTAATTTTGAGGAGTTTGTGAGCTTCAGAAAATGGTCAAAATTTGCTTACAAAAATGGCGTCCGAAGGGGTCAAATAAAGTGATGCTCGTATCTCTAATACAAGAGCAGTGAAGAACCTATGTTTATTATATTTGTCCATTACTCCACCTAACCTATCTATGATGTTAGTATGAGCTTATTCTGTTGACCCCCTTCCGTTGACATTTTTAACATTTTGCCCGGTTTTCTCTGACAACCACTCGTAAGTGGTATTTGTTTTATTGAAAACTATCCTTCAGATTATAAGATACGCGAATTACGTACTCTTCCCACTGATTTTTTCTTTATATTCTCCTAATCAAAATTTCAGTAATTATTAAGGCTTTCTTGTTGATCGCCTTAATAGTTACAGTTTCCAGGCGCCAAGGAGAGCAAAATAGAGAAAAATTTTCTTGGTAGTTTGGTAAGGCAACGTGCCGGCTTTATACTTCTTTCGGCGTGATAACGATGATGATGGCAACAATGGGTAAAAAGCACCGTCCGCTAATAGTGACGATTATCATAGTTATAAACAAGTCTTAGTAGACCTATAGAGACCTTTAGATTCTAACACGAGTACGACTACGAGTACAAGATTTTCTCAATAGTAAGTAGCGTACGCGCGTGAGCCAGCGTCATTTTGGTGGGAAAAAGTGGTAGTCGTCGTCATTCTACTACGAGTTTTCGCGCGAATGTCGTGGTGGCGAAAACAAGATATCAAATTTTAAAAGTTTTATCATTTTGCGATCGGGAGAGCGCGTACGCTCGTTCACTAAAGATAGCAATGCTATTTTTTCTACTGTAAAATGGTAAAATGAAGCTTTCCGGGAAGTCTACATTTTAAGGAGACGCGAAAACACTTCAAGTCAAAGCTCCTACTCGTAGTCGTCCTCGTCCTCGAATCTAAAGGTTTCCAATACGTCGTAAAATCGCACGAACCAAAAATAAAACCTGCGGAAAACATTTGTATTTTGAAAAGTTTCGGGGAAAGCTATCTAGTACAATTTTCGGTAGGCCATAAAATGCCTTTTTTCGCTTTATCTTAAAATCTGCTAGATAACTTTTTGTCATGCTGTCTGAGAAGTTAAAGAATTTCGGGAGCTTTCCAACAAATAAATAAACATCGTAGGTCACCGACGACCTACAGATAATTTACAAAAACTGAAATTTTGAGTGTCTGTTTGTCGATCTTACGTGTTGCCATGGTCACCGACATGACGTCACAAGTACCCTTAAAGTATTGCCCAACAATAGAGTTGCAAAGATTTGTATAGTTTGCCCACACGATCAACGCTTTTTTCTTGTAACCTTTCATCGTTTCACAAACACTAGGGCAACTTAGAACCCTTCCGAGCCTCCTTAAACTCCGCAGTCCAACCACACGT